ATTCATGGTTTCACCCTTAATACGGCATGTACTTATACATGCATGGCTTAATCTTTAAGACAAGCATATGACTACTCGCAGGATCAACCTGGCAGCTTTTGTACATTCATAACATTCAAGCTGCATGCAAATGAAATCTGCCAGTGATGGCGCATACTTTGGAAACGCGCTGGAAGTCGCTGTTCAACCAAAGACTCTTCTTCTTTTATTTCACACGTGTGGAATCTTATTTCGTGCTTTCAGTAGCAGTTCAAAACTCCCTACATCCTCCACGTTATCAGCGCCAACCGAACTGGCATGTAGCTAGTTCGTTCACTATTGGGCTTCACATCAGGTTAAAACTAGTTATTTCAATTTCTATAAGCCACTTAAATGGTGAATATATATATATTAGCAATAATGATTTCATTCAAAAACTTCATTTAATGTACCATAATTTTCGGTGGATAAGGCACCCTAGCATATATGCTACACACATGAAAATTGACTTAACAGAATTAAAGTTTATTGGATAAGCACCAAAAGCAGCAATGCTGTATACGTCCTAACAAAGCATTCTGAAACATAGCACTTAATATTCATTTATTCAGCAATGCCCTCCTGATGTAATCATCATTGATGGCTTTTTATAACATTTAAAACATAACTATAAACAGTAATAAGTAAAGTTAATTAACATTTCACTTTGAACTTAGCAAAAACAACCTCTGCTGTTTAGATGTTCTTTTTACAAGTTCAGTAAACTTACTAATATCCTCATAAATTACCATATTAAGGAATAGAACATGTATATTAAATAATCAAACAGAATTTTATGATTTAAATAAACTGCATTTATACATACAAAACCTTCGAAATCCAACTCATCAAGGTAAGAATTAAATAAACTTAACAAATGACCATCAAGCTCACTTTTATCACTCTGTTCTAAATCACTTCTTTTGATGTTACTACCTTTATTTTAATTTTCTTTTTTGGTGATTTCTGATTTAATGAAAGCTGATATGATCATATCAGCTCAGACTAATTGCCATGCTTTATCAAACCACAACCATAACTGCCATGCTTTTTCGAACCATAACCTCCTCACATGAAGCTTTTTTCATCCGTCTACGATTTTTGAAGGAATGAAGTCTGCTCCCATTCCTCCCAATACTTCTGTAGTTTGTCCTTGAATATTCTATTCATAGTGAGAATGAGTGGCTTTAAGATTTTTGTAAATACACGAGACATTGGTGTTAAGTTATTTGCTTTAGAGATTTTACCATTTCCACTACATGGGGTCACATTGAATCCAGAATGATGAGTCCCCAACGAAGGGAAAAAATGACTTTCTTTTCAATAAATTTCTTCCAGCGAAAAACAACAATGTATCTTCCCATATCCGTCCCCTTTCATTGGTGCAAAAGAGCCATTAAGGAAAGTTTCCTTTCAGAACTATTTTCCTTTATGAATGGGGTTAATTTCTCTTAACTGATGGCACAATTTAAAGACAAGTTAGAAGTTTTTTCATTCCCAGTTATTAACACAAATAGTTTTTTCACCTGTTTGAATGAACGGTTCAGCTCGAAGGCTAGTTAAAAGTAACGGACAAAAATCCATATTGATTATTTACTTTCCGTTCATATTTTGCTCTTTAATTTTCTTGGATGTGTACTCCAAAAAACCTAATGTGAACACCACAATTTTCTTGTACTGCCTATTAAATTATACACACTTTTTGTCGCATTTCATTTTAAACATATTTCCTTGAATTTGATTAGTGATATATTTTTCATTCAATCACTTCAGTTCCCAATTTGCAGCAAGGCAAAAAATACATAAAAACTCAAAAATTCTTCATTAAAAAATAAAATACAGATAAACTATAACATGAAATACAGTTAAAAAACGTTTTAAATTAAAATTAGAATTTATATGCGAAAGCAATTCCAACAATAGATGGGAAGACAAAATTTTAAGTTAACTTTTGGTCCCACTTGGTAAAAAGACACTGAAATTGTTACACAAACTGACGTAATTCACTATTCTACTAATAGTTTCAAATGTAAACAAATGGCAGCCTCGTTAGGCTTAGTGCCGCTTTTAAACTGTCGATAATTACATAACTACTGTATACAGATTAACTAAAGGCAGAAAATCCTTAATCAGAACGTTAAGAATAACACAATTCAATCATTTTTAGGGCAATAAATACACAATTTACCAACATATAAGAATAAACAGAATTGGCGGAAATGAATGAAATTGATTCCACATATTTACTGATAGTGGCACAAATAAAGAATCAACCAGAAATCAGTACTTTGTGTGTCCCCCCACGCTGAGAGATGAGAGCTTGTACAGGTCATTTTATATAGTTGGCATTGAATCATACAGGTTCTGAATGTAATCCTAGGGAATGGTATTCCATATGGCTTCGACTTAGCACCAAAGTTCAGTCTTTGTGCGAGCCCCACCAATTGCAGGAGCGAGTCACTGACCGATGAAATTCTAAATCTCAATGGGCAACATATCCAGGAACAAGCAGGTCATAGAAGAAGCAAAAAGCATAACCTGTTGTGTTCTAAAGGAAGATTTGTGCATAGGTATTATTCTGCTGAAATATGGTGCCCCGAATGTGTCGAAAAATGGGAAGGACATTTGGCTTCATAACTTTCCTTGTGTAGCGATCACTGTTGAGGCAGTCTACACTAGATGGGATCAACAATTCCACCTAATAGCTCCCCACACCATGATGGCAGGCATTTATGCAATGACTCTGGATAACCCATTATGGGAGCATACATTCCCCTCCGTAATGGCTGACGTATAATCTTCCATCATTGTAGCGCGATTCAACAGAGAAAACAACTTGTTGCCGCAGGACACACCATGTACTGAGTTGCTGTGCCCATAGAAGTTGAAGACATCTGTGATTCAGCAACAGGGGAATCCTGCGTAGAACAACCATTGCAAACAGTTCATGCAGCAGCACAAGCCGTGAAGCTAGACAACATCTGCAGCTATGCTCCAACGTTCTGCTAACACACAACAGGATGCTGTATGATCCATCACAGCCATGCAAATGAGACGTCTGTCGTCCTGTGCCGTTGTGCTATTGCAAGTCCCACTGCCAGAACTTCGCCTTGTTTGGTTCTCCTCTGCCCATTCCTTCCATACATGCATCACTGTTGTGGCATTTCACTGTGTGCGGGCTGTCATTGCTCGATATTTAATTCCACCACCTTGTATACTAACAATGCAACAACGTTCGAACTCCAACAGTTGTTGGTATGGTACCTTCCGCTCTTGATGAGGCATAATGACCACTAATTAAGCTTTCACCACAGACAGATGATGAGCAGATTTCAATGCAACTTCACTGTCCTTTATGAACATGGAACAAGAACCCAGTTATCATTCCACACACATGCAATCGCATTGCACTCTAATCATTTGCATGGCTTACCTCACTTTACATTTCCTGTAAGTTTGGTTCAGTTTTCATAATTCCTTCATGGCACTGGAATTTTCACTAATGTTCCTGTACACACGTTTAGTTCAGCCAACTGAACAATTACATGTTATAGCAATCCCATATATAAAATTTCAACATTCTATGGCTATTCATTTTTGAATTATGCGATATACATATATATGAACATCACGAAAAAATATCTTCTGAATCGATTTTACAACTCATTTTGGAAAAAATAGTCATTTATTCTGTCAATATGTATCGATCTCGGGCAAAAAAATGCCCAAAGGGATTAGAGAGCAGTCAAAATGGGTATTTTTGTTGAAACACAACATAAATTTTTCGTGATTACAGAACTGCCTTTACTTCATCTAAGGAAGTAAAAAGCTTTTTGTTTTTTGATGCCAGTCCATGTGAAGTTTGTCTAACTGTTGTTTGGATAATTTTTTTATTTCATGAACCTGAAACACCAATTAAAGCTCTCCAATAAAGTTTTTAACACTTATTTTTTGAGCGATTACTTTTGCTTGAAGGTAAAATTCTAACTGTTGACTCTGACAACACATTTTTCTCTCTGCTTTATTGTCCATTTCTCTAAACTGTCTTCCAAAACAAGCGAAGCTATGATTCTAGTCTGACAAGATCTTTGATTTTTAGGCATTTCTTCTAATTCTTCTAGTTTGGACTTCCACTGGCGAAGGCATCAAATGCCAACTTGAAATTCTCTGACCGCAGCCAGATTTCCAATTTCTATCATTTTCTTCATTGCTAAAGGCTTAAAAGCAGCCCTACAACTTTTTCTTCAAGAAGGAACCACAATAATAATTCTTAGAATTCAACAAAAATGATAAAGTATTATTATTGTAGTTCCTACTAAGCAATTAGCAAATTGCGAAGCAATGAGACATGAGCAAGAATGATACAGAATTTGGGAAAATAAATATTCTTGTGGCCATTAAAAAGATGATCATCAGGAAACACAGACAAAACTATGGTGTTCAGCAGAAAGTAACATACTTAAGTGTCTTTACACTTAGCACATCTTACCGCAGTTAGGGGAGTTCCATGCAAGTTCGAATTTCTTGTGCTGCCTTTACGCATCTTCAGTGCACATGTCTGGTTAAAATGTCACAAGTATTTGTACATTAACCATTTCGCTTGTGCACATCTTATGATCTAAATTAGAGAAGTTCTAAAGACAGAGAAATTCCTTCAGATACACCACAGATCCAAATTTTTAACTTTGAAACATATATAAGCTACATCTTACCTATCCAAAACTACAGTAACAAAGGATACAAAAAATACCAAAAGTATTAGCTGAATTCATGGTCTAACATATGACAATTAAAAAGCAAAATGAGACTTCCAGAATAATAATTCTGAATACAAGTATCTATAAAGCCAACATACTAATATCTTGCACTTTATTGTATGTATGTATTTCAGATCCCTTTAAGTTCTGTTTCATTCCTCACCCCCCTACAAATTCACAATTAAAATCATTATTTAGTTAAACATATTTCATATGCATGCCTACCTCCATCTTGCCTCCGAACAGTAACTTCTACAGCATTAGAATGAGCTACCATATCTCTTAAAACTATACGTTGCTGAAATGAGATAATAAAATGAAATAAGATTCATGTAAAAATAACTTTTCATATGAATATGAATTTGAAAGACTAAAAACGAAATCAACTTACTCTTTTGGTTTCATATAATGATACAGCAATTGAGATCAAAGTAATGACTAGAATGCAAGCAGCATAATACACATAATTGTCCAAAAGCCATAGAGTTACACTGAGAACTTGGAAGATGTAAAAGGGATTTAGCACCTGAAAAGGAATGCATTATACAAATAACTTTAATTATTGCTTATTCACATTATTTCTACAATAAGCAGCAATAAAACTCGTTGTCAGGAAAAGAAATTCTTGAGCAATTCACTCTTATCTTACATTTCTCTTCATTTGAAACATACTATACTTAGATCAGAGAGAAAGAAACCTCTGGTCAATGGTATAATTTTGCTATCAGACATTGAACGTGAGAAGTTCACTAATAAGTGCATAAAGCATGCAAATAAAATAACAAATGTTTAGTCTAGATTAAACTGTTTTTGCTTGTTGAATTCCAGCTTTGCATTAGATATCTACGTCAAAGTACAGACAACAGAGAATTTAGAAAAAATTTTCACATTATCGGCTGCTTTGAAATAATACTGAGATTATAAAACAATAAATGTATGGAAAATCGTAATACAAAAGCAAACTTTAATAACAAAAATAAAACAAGACACATTAAATTTTTCTTAATTCATTTATTATTCTCTGATAAAAAGGAACAACCAACACAGAATTTAGGTTAATTAAATTTAATCATTAATAGAGTAAAACTTTTAATAACTTATTCTTGCGCCTTACTATGATCAGTCTTTCCTCTACTTCTAAGTAATAAAAAACATTAATTATATTCCTGGTTCTGTAAGACTTATTGTTCATTAAAAATGGTTCATTCCCACACATTTTCTATTAAATTGTACAGAAATGTTTTAAAAATGAAGGGGGGAAAAGAACTTTTTTCTTCAATGCTTAATGTGTTTTCATATACACAGTAGCATAAACGTAGTTCAGATCCACACCTGTGTATTTTTAGAAAAAGAATCATCGATTCGTCTTACAAAGGCGGTACTAGCAGTTGTTTTAATAATTGATGGAATGGAAATGGATCAAAATGATCACATGCAGTACACTGTTTATAACATCATATTTTTCTAAAAGAATTTTCACATAAGAGACATTGGTAGAAGAACTAACGAAGTAGAAAAGCTCTAAAATCATTAATGATTGAAGTTGAGAAAGCAGAATGTTGCATGTTGGAAAGAATACTGCAGGAAAATTTATCCTTTTTCAATTCTGTAGACAGACTGGTGGTCATCACATGAAGACACACTTTGCATTTATTTTGAAATATATTTTTAATATTTTAACCATTTTTTCATAATTGCCCCCCCCTCCTTTTTCAAAAGTGACTTTTGATACACCATGCATTTAGTGCATCTGCCTGTAACAGAGTTTATGAATTTAAGTTATTCTATTTTCATTCCTAAACAACAGGCAGAAAAATTTTTAAATATATTATTTAATCATAAAAATTATAAATACTGCTGATAAAAAATAACTTCAAGGAAAAATACATGAAAAAAGTGTAAAACAGCATAACACAGAAAACATACCTCATCAAAAAACAGACGAAAATATGACTTGACTTCTACATCAATGCAATTTGGTCCATAAATTTCCCGTCTTAAAGAGGGAAAAAAAATTATTACTGTTATAGCAATTTTTTCAATTCTTCAAATTTTTTATTTTTTCAAGATATTTTTTTCAAAAGTAACTGAAATACCTTTCTTTTTCTTCTATAGCTAGAAGGCCATGGAATTTTTCATAAAAGTCTGAGCAGATCAAGCCCTGGTCATAACCCCTGAAAACATATTTTTTATATTAATATTCTTAATTTACATATACACACACATTTTTAAAATGTTAAAAACTCATTTAATCATATTCCTAGAATTCTTAAAGATAATTTAACGATAAAACCCTTAAAAAAAGAAAATGATTTGAATAAACAACATAATCTGAGCCAAGCCATTCATTTCGAAGAAATTTAACATTTCATTTTAAGTACTGATGCCACAAGACTAATTCTGAAAGGTGCACAATATGCCACCTGTTACTGTCAGTTTAAAAAAAAAAAAAAAAAAAAAAAAAAAAACTTAATAGAGGAAAAAATTATTTCTTTAAAATGGTTCAAGCCTGACATTTTTTACATTATTAAAATTAAAGCCAGAATTCCAAGAGCAAAAATTTTGTTAAATAGAAAAATTTTTGCAATCAGCATTCTTAACATTGACAACAGCATACACATTTACGTCACTAAACTTAAATGCAATAACCATATTTGGATTTTATTTCAATGTTTCCATGGATTTATTTCCATTTCCATTCACCAACAAATTACAAGTATTAATTTCCCAAAATTTAGTATTAATACTAGTAAATTCCCTAATATGGCAAAGAAATCAGAATTTAAATAAAGAACTTTCATTTAAATTTTACTACACATATGGTACTATAGAAAATTTACTTCTATCAGCTTTCAAATTTGTTAATTACACATTTTTGATTTTTCTAAATATGTCTTCATTCTATGTTATAATAAATGTCATTAAATATGTTATAATGATATATACACACATTTTAGGAAATTAGTAACTTGAGTACAAGATACGGCGCAGAAAGAATTAGACGATTTAAATTTGGTACCACGCCAAAATCTTTGCAGGTGATATGGTGAAACGCACATCCCTGAAAAAGTTTAAAGCCTTGAGTCAGGAAGAAATTCAAGCTTTTGTTGTAGAAATGTTCTTCAGAAACAATGATTCTTCTACTCTACTGCAACAAGTTTATCAACAATATTTTGACATTATAAGGTACAAAAATATTCCAATAAGCTAAAAAATATGAATTCAAATTTAATGTATCGAGTGTCAATAAGAAGCCTCTTGGTTGCCTCAAACTGTGGGAAAATTTACACAGAAGGCACAAATGTTTCAGCACAGTTTTCATTGCTATGCCTTTCGCCATTCAGCTGCCTAACTATTGGAACCATTTGATGTACCTTAAACAAGGATTTAAAGTCTATTTCTGTAAAATTCAAATATGCAACAACCAACTTCTCTTCAGTTTCAATCAGCAGAATGAACATTGCAGGAAACTGTTGCAAATGATCAAAAAACAGTATAATACCAGGATCACTTAATAATGTCTGATGAATTTTATTTGCATCTAAGCAGATATGTCAACAAGTAAAATTTCAGATATTGGACACCAAAAAGACCCATGCATGTTGCTTCAGAAGTCATCGTACCGGGTTGGGGGGGGGAATTACAGTTTGGTGTGTTAGTACATTTGGAGTGACTGGGTCTGGCATCTTTTAAAATGTTAATGGTCAGTCTATTATGGTCATATCACGTCAATATATGGTGGTGTAGGGAGAATTTCTCAACGATGAGCTTCACCAACAGCATATTGACAAGGTGGCACAGCTTAGAAGGTGCTACCACGCACACAGCACGAAATTCAATAGCTGTGATCCAAGAAACGCTTCTGCAACATCTCTAATTTTAAAGACATTGAATGGCCTCCATGATTGCCTCATTTATCAGCATGCAATTTTTCTTATGGGGCTAGGCAAGATCTACATCCACTAACTTCACACTATACAGAAATTGAAAAATTACATCCAAGAGAAAATTCAAGCAATTTGAACAAATTTGTCCAAGTCACAGATAATGTCAAACAACAGTGTGTTTTATTTCTAGTGGAGTTCATCCAAGTGATTTCATCCTCAGAAAGTGATTTGAAAACAAAATGCTTTTGCCGTTTTTTTACAATTATTTGCATAATTATTACAGTCAAAAGTCTTTAATCCGGACTCGTCGGAACTTCGGCGATTCCGGATTATCGATTTTTCGGATTATAGATCATCAGTTTAAATCTGGTAACATGGCATGCAGAAATTATAAAATTAAAAATATGAAACCGTAATTTATAAAATAATGAGCAATTATGATCTAAAGGGTATCGAAATTTACAAAAATAAAAGCTTAATATTTATTTGTTTACTTTATTAAACATTTCTTTCAACGCGCGCATGCGTAAAGCATACATTTCGCATAGCCGAAATTAGAAAATTGCAATCAGAAAACTATTTGATTTGTATTCGTGATATTTATAATGACAAGGAATTTGATTTAAATCATATCAAAGACGGAGTACATTGAGATGAAATACTACATTTAGTAAAGAATTATAAGCCGAATAAAATAAAAACATGCCTTGAAGATAACGATAGTGCTGACAGATCAACTTCCAGTTCATTGTGCGCCACGACGTTCCCCCTCCCATCCCGCGCAGAGCAGCGTGAAATTGATAAACGGATTTCGGAACGGTTAGATAAACAAAGGATATGCCTTATTATCCATTTTTTGCAACAATTAAACTTTTTGTTTGATGGACATCGAAACATACTTTCGTTTTGTAGATCCTTTGCGAGCTCCAGCATCGGAAATTCTATTTGACGTAATCGAAAGTTCAAGCTTACTTTTATAAAATTGCTCTTACAGTCTGCAAAAAATAATAAGCCGGATCCAATTCGAAGATTAAGTAACAACGCAATCATTAACATTAACTGAAATAGATAATTAGAGCTTATACCGTCCGTTATACATTAAACGCGCACGCGAAAATGTATTCTGCGCTTGAGCACACCCATATGTGCAGTCGTAAAGGTCTTGCGCGTTGACACATGCGCATAGGCGTTTACGCATGCGCAGAAAGTTTTTAGCTTTGAGGTCCGGCTTATAGATCATTCCAGATTATGGGTGTCCGAATTAACGACTTTTGACTGTAATTAGTTTTTTAATTAAAGTGCTCATTTTTATACTTTTAATCATATAACTATTTTTGCTTCATTGCTTATAAATTTAATTCATACAAAACATTATTCATAAACTCACCTTAGCCTTTTGAAACAAGCAATTTTACTATCCCACACAAATTTTACACAGTTATGGATGAAATGGCGATAAGAACTGGCCTATAATTAAATAAAAACATAAAAGGTCAAATGATTTACGTTCTTGAAGAAAGATACTGAAAAAATTTTAAAATTCAAATGCTAAAACCTAATTTAAATGCAAAATAATAGTGCTGGTACTCCAAATAAAGAGAAGTAATGTAAATTTGAATTTTAAAAATTATAATTAAATATACTACACCAGAAACACATGTAACATTTTTATTTCTGTGATATTCAAGGATAAATATTTTGACATGTGTTAACAAGCACTGCATATTTGAATAACAAGTATTTTTGTGATATTTAAGAACAAATATCTTGACAAATATTAACAGCATCACACATACCGGAGAATAATTGAAGTTCATGGCATCATGTTGATGATTACTTATAGATGAAAGTGATCTGGAATATACAAGCTCTGGAGGTAGTGTTGCTTTAACAGGCTCAACTTTTACTTTTAATACATTCAAGCTACCATGGAGATCCTAAAATATATTTTAAAAAAAAATGTTATTGATATGCTCAAGTTTTTTCCCCTCCCAAGTATACCCATGTCACATGATAACAGAATAAACTCCAGATAATGTGTAGTACTCTGCCTGTCTAAATAAACGTACATCACTATTAATATATCTTCATAGTGCAATGGTTCACTTAACACATTAAAGGCAGGAGTCGTAGTACTATGATTTATCTCGACTGTAGCTTAAAGGTGGGAATCATAGTACTGCGATTTATCTGGGCTGTAGCTGAAAGGCGGGAGTTATATTAGTACGGTTTGCAACCACATTGTGCAATCCATCTGCCACTTTACATTTGTATTTAGTATGTTTTGTGGTTTGAAGCTGTTCGGTTGTTCAAATTCTACTTACAGTAAATTTTGATATCCTTCAATATGGTTTCACATGAAAATAAAGATATATATGCAGACGATTTGATGGACATTGAAAAGCCACAACCTGGTACATCGAACATGGCACCACGTACTCCACGATATAAAATTGATCCGCCTGGATGACATCAAAAAGCATAACTTAATTTGGATAGAAAATAAAGGCAAAAAGCTATATGCCAACGAAACTGGGAAAAAAAAAAAAAAAAACGAAAACTAGTTTGTGCGGCACATAAAAAAAGGAAGTTGACTTGCTTCAAATGAGAGTTTTGCAATGCACCTGTTTACCATGGCGAGTGTTATCAACATTATCACACTCATAAAAAATATTTGATTCTTCTCATAAATATGAACTTTAAAGCATTTTTTGGAAATAGTGTTTAGTGTTTTTTTAATATTTCTTGTAGTTTTAAGAGTTTAAATAAACTTTTTTAAGTCTAAATTTTTTTATGATTACACAAAATATCGCCCACTCAAGGACGAAAAACGAGACGGGTGGTTGCCGCATTACCCAGCATACTTTCGTCAAGATACCCCCCGCCTTTAATGTGTTAAGTACAAATAGACTAAAAAATTTCAATATAGTGCCTATAATCAAGGTACCTACAGTTTGGACCGACTCTAATAAGATCTTGACCAGAAGCTCGTGGTGATGTAATTAAACAAGAAGAGTCAAATTCTATCTATAAATGTGGACTAGTAGTTAAAGACTACTTTTATTTTTTTACACTGCAGAAGAGGGCTGCAGACTCTACGACCATAAAATTTGTCTAACAGCATTATGTGATTAGTGGTCGAAGACTATGTAATTTAATTTTAATTTAAGCTAGCCCAGTAAACTCTGTCGTCATAACAAATTCAAATGTTTGCAGTGATAATGCAAAAACAAATAATTACAAATGAACAGAGCTGGCAGGAATAATGCAACGAGCGAGTGGAGGTCGGAAGCATAGTCTCTTTTACACTCCAAAAACCTTAGTTTAAAAAATGTCTACCTGATTTGTATTCTGTTGAGCAAATAGAAATGAGAAATTACCATTAAGGCTGCTATAATAAACAATTGGGTAATTTACATAATAACTATACATATCTCTGAAGAATAATTTTTTTCTCTTTACGCATTCAGTTTCTTTCTTCAACATGTTTCCTTTTCATTTTAGATATTTTGGATTTAAAGATTTCTAACATTCTAAAAATACTAAATGCATTAAGAATGTATAGAAAAAGCTGGTAATTTCGTTTCTTTAGTCATATGAACATTCCGAAGAAATATGAAATATATATGTTAAGGGCCAGCTACAGAGCTGGTAGCTGGTGTGGCAGAATTTTTAGAATTTAGTGGCCCACCAAGCAACAAAATCTAGAAATGAAAAAACTCTTAAGAATTTAGAGCAGTTACCGGAAGTTGAATTTAGAAAGACACTAGGCACAGAAATTTAGGATCCACAGGGGAGATTGCATGAGGCGGGAAAATGCCTGCGCCAGCCCCCTGTTTATGATACATTAAGACATATATAAATTGTCAGTTTTCAATTTCTTTATAAACAGAAAAATTCCTTTCTATAAATGCTGTACATGTGATAAGATTAGAAGCACTTTTGATATTTTCCATGCCTGTGTTTAGTGAAAAGTAGGGAAAATGAAGGGAAGATTAACATGTTAAGAAAAAGATTCTAGTATCAGAAGTAAAACATTCAAATATTATGTTTTCATCGTTCTTCCGTATGTTCTTCAAAAAGTAAGAAATTCATTGTAAATTTTCTGTAAAATACATTCATTGCATGTTAATACCATGGAGGAGTTTTTCATTAAGTCACGTTTTTCTGGAATCTTCTAGAATCGTGGGCCTATAAATCTTGCCTTCAAATCCGTCTAAACTTTCCAAGCTGCAATGTCTAAAATGCTAAAGAAGAATTACCTCTACTAATTCTGTAAACAGCAAAAAGCCAAAAATATTTTGGGGAAAAAAAAAAAAATCAGAGGGGAAAACTGCAAAATTAATTTTATAGAAAAAACTGCTGCATATTCCGAGACAATAACATGGGAAAAACTCTTACCATGAAAAGTTTAGCTTTTTGCTTTTGCTAAGAACTGTTTCGTGAATTGTGCTTTATAGCGTTTATTTTTCAGATTCAGAATATTGTATAAGTGACAAAAATGGAATTTTATAATAAGAGAGCAAAAAATAAAAATGTTTTACTTCAATGTTATTTTTTTAAATATAATTCCAATATATTATCATAATTTTAATGAAATTTATCAACGTTACAATGCTTTTATAAAAATCATCGAAAAATTCCCAGATCTCAGAATAAAAAAATTTCTATAGAAAATAATCTTAAAATCACCACAATGTGATAAGTCGCCTAATTTAGAACCATTTAATAAAAGAATTCACATCCTTAAAAGCAAAACGTTGTTCAAGAGCATTATAAAAAAGAAATAACTTCGAAATGCTTATGTTTCACATCTTGCTCAAAAAGTCAAGTATCCCACCATTTATATTCGAAATATGAACAAATTATAACCCATGAACCCATTCAAAAGATAACCATATTTGTAAGTGAATCGCGAAAAATAGTCCATTAAAATGATAAATCACACTTAAAATAGCAGTCTTAAAAACAGACAGAAATTTTAGATGATTAAAATTAAGGACCTTCTACTCTTTTTGGCTAAAATTAAGGACTTTTTAAGGACCAAAAATCAGTTCCAAAAAACCTAAGGACTTTTAAGGACGTTTCAGAATCGTACGGATCCTGAAAGTTCCTTAACGTGATATTTATAAAGTTACGTCAAACAAACACTGCAGAGTGTATCCAGAAAAGAATACAAAATTTAAATGCCAAAGAAATGTCAGAAACTGATCTTGCTAAAGAAAGAAAAATGATTTAATAGTATGAAGAGAACATTGTGAATTATTTAATACTAATATATATACAGGGTTGCCACTCAAACAGGAGAATGAAATTCCCTGACTTTTCCAGGTTTAGCAGGTGTTTCAAGAAAATTCCAGTCTATCCGCGTAATGTACGTTGGCTGTGCTAAGAGGTAAATTAATTATGGTATTACTTGTATTGTGTAGCAAATTCACTTAATTATTCAATAAATCCCAGAGGACATTTATTCTTAATTATTCTTGGTATACTTTGTTTGATAATTTTGTTTAGTTTTCCACTTAAGAAACTTAATAAAATTTAAGATATATATATTGGATAACAAATGTATGTTTTATTTAATTATTACTCATGATCAATTGTATTGTAAGTACGAACTAAAGAAATTATTCTTGTTTTTTCCATCATGTATTGCTTGAATCGTCAATAAAACTGGATTAATGTCATTCACTGAATTGATCTCCTATGACAGGTGAGAGTAATTATTTTGTTTATTTGAATACTAAACTGTACCTAAAATGAAATTCAATTAAAAGTACCTTAGTTACGTAAAACTCCTGATTTAAATTCACTTTATAATGTACGATTCAGATTGTTCAATTATTTCTAACATAATTCTGATGTTAAACATATTAATATTTTATTACACATTACAAATGATTTGTGATATAGTTTCACACCAAAATAATGCATATTGTTACTTATTTTGATTCACTTTTAAATGCCACGCGCCAGTGTGTCATGCAGCATTGCAAAAGTTATTTTTCCTCTAGTGCCGATCATGCACTAGCGTGTAGTTATAAAATTTGATGCTTAAAGGCCTTAGTAATTAATGTGGTACACATAACAATCTTTTATTATCTCTTTAAAATCATATTTCCTATAATAAGTAAATCAGCATATGGATACAATATATTTCTATGATACAGCATTAACTACCAAGATAACTTCACATGACCGGCAGCGAAAGTGTTAACTTCATTTGTGACCTGAGGAAAATATGCTTTTGTAGTTTTAGCCTTTGGATTAAGTTACAAAACTGTAACTTTCCAGTGAACTGTGAAAAACTTCTCGCTAAAAATAAGGACCGTGCTCAGTCTTATATTATAAAATTTAAAGATTATAATACCAATAAATTAATTGAATGTTACATCTTTTTTGATTAAGATTATTTAATTTATGTTGAAATAATATTAATTGCAATTAGCAAAGAACTGGTTAATTCAGCTCGAAAATTTCATAAATATTAGTTAGTTTTTGGAAGGGATTTCAAGAAATATTTACAAGTGAATTCGCAGATCACCGAAACATGCAACCAAATCTTTCAGGGTGGAAGGTGTCATGTTATGATGAATACTACGTATGCACACTTTAGCCTAAAGGTGTACGGTTTTGTAACTCTCCCGCAAGACAAGGAATCAAGATTACAAGAAGAGAATGTCATAAGTATAATGTCTCTAAGCCAGCAGAAATATTACATTATCCACTTTATGTAAATTATATCTGTTTACTTGTTTGCATTATGATAAAGTGTTTGTCGAGCACTACTTGTTATTATTTATGAAAATACCTACATCTTGCCATGTAAACGTTCATACATCAAAAACCCACCTCAAGATAGAAAAGTCACAGGTGGAAGAATGAGATTTACACAAGTTTTATTAATTCAATAAATTTTATTGCTGAAGAACACTTTTCTTAGTAAATGCAAAAAATTAGAAACTGAGAGTCACTTGGTAAAACCAGGAGATTTGGCAGCTATGATACAATAATCGGTAGAAGCACATCTGAAAATACTGCAGCATACTTTTTCATTTGAGTTTTAATAGCAGATACACAGTTCGAAGCAATTAGAAATCTGACAGTGAAACAATTTAAGGGTACAAAATACTGGTTTCATTTTTCACTCATTTATAGACTTAAATTAGGGAAATGGTTTACTTTAAAATTATTCATTTTTGAAAAACATTCAGTTTTAATCAGTACTCACTTTCAGAATAAGTACAGTGGCTGTAGACACACTGCATGGCGTGCAAGTCATTCTAACCTTCCATGCAGGTCGCCATCTGAATATCAATAATAATAAACCACAGCTGAGGAATATACCAACATTGTAAAGGCATTTCTTGCATGGACTTTCAGAATATCCATAAACTTCCTGAAAGGGTATGACAGATTAAAAATGCAATATAGAAAAGGAAAAATAAGTCACAGTCATACACTTTAAAAGAAAAACAGCTATAATATTTTAAAACTTAAATGTAAATTACCACTTGATCATCTGTGCCCTCTTCTATAGTGATTACTTGTGGCCTGTCGCCTGTTTTAGTGAGGAGCAGATAAGGCATTTTCAGATTTTCTGCAAAAGAAATGTATTCATATAACTCATTGATTTGCAAAATACGGCAAAGTGCTTCTCAAAGCACTTACTACATACTGGGAGGGGGAGTAAACTGCTTTTAATAAGAATACATAAACTACTGAATTAATTCCCAAATGCACAAATAATGCATAGCCAGTGCCCAAAAACTTGGCGATATTGATATACACCGACATTAAGAAGAAAAAATTTATTAAGATAGGTATCAGTGATAACCACAAGAAATATCAAAATTAATATGATGAATATATGTCTGTTTTACATGTAAGCAGAGTTATGCAAAGATGAAAATAAATAAATAAAATACATACATTAGAATTTTCCTTAATCAGCGGTTGGAATTTACATACATTATGACAAATTTCTTAAAAGGTTATTAACCTACAATTGTATTTAGTATTGTTGCATGCATACAGGTTCATAATAGACTGAATGCACAAGTCCAATAATAGGTAAAAAAAAAAATATTTTTATTAAAAGAGCTATTTCAGAACTCTTGAATTTTCTATAGAAATATTTGTTGCATCACGAAGTATAATCAGTAGTTACACTTCAAACTAATAAGAATGTTACACACACAATGCAAAGCCCATCTAAAGAGAAAGCTAACTTGGATTTATCTCAGCTCATGCAGAACTACAACTTGCAACAACAATAACTAAACAGCTGGAACTCAAATGCTCTTTCTCCGGCATTTTACAATTTTTAATCGGCTGCCGAGATTTTTCTAGTACTTTCTCTTTCAAAATTATTGGAACTACTTCTTGATATTACTGGAAATTCTGGTTACAGCTAACATAGTGGTCAATTACATTTCATCAAGTTCAATACATAATACGGTGGTACAGGGATTGGATGATAATGGTCACCAAATTTTGAGATTTTTGGCGATTTTTCGACAAATTACTGAGATACTCATTTGCTCAATATTAAATGCACTTGCCCCTGTTTCTTACTTTTCTGGCATAACTTTTTCTTAAAAATTTGTCTTGTGCTACGTTATACAGAAAAATACAATAATTTTACTTTTAATTCTACTAAAATTACCTATCTACGTACAAATATCGTAACAGTATTGAGATTTACTTACTTTTAAGAAAGAATATAAAACAGCTTGCAAGTCAGCCTACTTTTATGGAAAGCTCATAATTTTCACCCAAACTGAGTATAATTAAATAAGACCTTAAGCACATGTATGAAGAGAAAAAGCCCACTTCTCAAAAATAGGTGAGAAAAACAAAAGTTCTAAGCAACTATCATATTAATTAAATTCCTCTCTAGCAAAATGCTGCAAAGCCTAGAGAGTTTTGCAATGAAGCTACAAACAAGAAATCATCAGGCTGAATACAGCTGTCACTAATGTTTTTAACAGTGTTCATTATTCTTTTGAAGTTACTTTATTTTGAAAGAAAATTTATTCATGAAAAATATTAAGATAATTTTGTATTAAAATACAATGTACAGTAATACCCTGAAGTTATACAATAAGTGGAACCAACGTAAAATGTATAAATTAGAGTCTAACCTGCATATAAGTAAGCACATGTAAATATTGGTTAAATAATACCCAAATCTAGAAGAATATTTGTTTAGAAGAAAAGTTTATAATAAAAAATATGCTTCATACATATCTACACAAAACAGTATTAAAATAAATATGCTAAACAGAACAAGAGCTATTTGGTTGTCGATAGCTATTTAAAATTTAAGAATGTAGTTTTGATGCATATCTACACAAAATACTATTAAATTAAAGAAGCTACATGAAATTGACTTATCTTGATGACAATAACTTCATAAAATTTAACAAACTTGTCTGACAACTCAATGGCCTTTTTTAATAATGAAAAATTTCTTCATACCAGGTTAATAATTTGTTTATTCTTTGAATAATAGCTAGAATTTGTTTCTCATATTCTCCAAAATTCGTAACCTTTGTCCAACTGAACACAGAACTTTCATCAAGATCACAAATGTCACATGCTTTACTAGTGGATCTGGATCTGAGGTGTCCAGCTATTTTCAGTAGCGATTTGCTCATGCATCTTTATGAGCTCACTGATTGTCAAAGAATCCAACAGCCAGGTGACTTCAGTGTTATCTACTTTCAAACCTGCCAGGCAGAATTGATAATTTTGTTTATTATGACCAACTTCATCAGTTTCATGCAATGTTTTTGTCTGACTTTTAACCCTCCAAGTGGCCGAGCCGTATATATACGTTCAACCAAAATTGTGCTCTAAGCGGCCAGCAAGCATATATACGTCCAACCAAAATCCTCTTCTAAGCGCCTAGCAAGCATATATACATCCAACCAAAATATTGCTCTAAGCGGACAGCAAGCATATATACGCTCGCATTAAGATTTCTTTCCCCCAGCAATTTCGACGGTGATTGCACTAATAGGCTCCCTGCTGGGAAGGGTTTCGCTTTTCTGAAATTTAGCTTGTTATTTTGGGGTTGCTGCACATAACTGTTGAGTCGCCAAACATCCATGTTTTGTTCGAATTTTTAATACTGCTATCGAATTAGCCAAGACAGCAGAAATACTTTCAACACGTACTGAAAGTAAAAATGGAATTTATTTCTTCATCTAATATCTGAAATGGAGAATAAAAATAATTGAATAATAACCGCTCTTCAACTAAAATCTGGTTTGACAGTTTGAAGCTAATATATAAATCCAGAGTATTTAATCAAAGTTCCTATTTTTTAATTAGAATCGAATATCCGCAACACAATAAGTTGAACAGAATCATTAAAATAAATTTTAAAAATGTTAATGATTTAACGTACCTTAACATTTAATGAAGATTTGTTTTAACTCTTTCGCATCGAAATCGCCGTAGCGCCCGTTCATTTAGGCAACGGCAAACCGCCCGAACGCCTCGTTTATTTTCTACCTAGTTCTTTCCCCTCCACGTTAGTGTATGGCTCATTGGTTTCGCGAGTTGTTAAAAGACATTTCAAACATTCTTTTGAAGCAAATAAAGGAGAAATACGGAAAGCTATTGACGTTCGCAGGTGCAATCCGGCCCTAAGGTGAAACTGCACACAATGGATGAATGGATGAAACCGCAAAAGGGGGAAAGGAAAATTATTCCAAGACAAATTCGTAAACACGGGCGTTTTCGATGTTTGTTGAAAACAGATTTGGTCGTCTCTCGATGCGAAAGAGTTAATAGAAGCATATCGGTATAGTATTGAAAATTTAAATATGCAAGAGATGTTTTAATCACAGACTTTTGACAGCATAAGACCGATATTAACGTTATAAACATAGAAACATCTTTATTTTTGGAAATACTGGAATAATAAACATGTTACAAGAATTTTAAATAATCGTAAGCTTTAAACTGATACTCGTTGAAACCAGGACTGACGTCAGCAGGAGCGGTAGAATAAAAAGGCGGGAAAATTTTTAGAATTTAGAAAAACACTGAGCAGCAAAATTTAGGGATGGCAAAAATTTTGGACTTTAGGTAATACACAAGGCAGAGGCATTTAGAAGCTGAAAATGTTTTTTAATTTAGTAATGCACCGGAAAGCAAAATTTAAAACCTTCAAAAGTTACGCCGATCGGCAAAATGCCTAGCGCCGGCCATGGTTGCAACGCCTCGACGTATGCTATCATATGTTAGAGGTTCTGAACTTTATTAAGTAAGCACAGTAATGAGCAGAGTGATTTTTTATTAAATATAGAAGTAAACGAGTAATAAAATAAATATTATCATTCTTTTCTATACAACTTTTCCTTAACTTCATTTATTATTAAAATTATTGTTATTATTATACCAATACCAGCTACTTATGGATCTTTCACTACATATTTTAAAGGCGATAGCTGAATTCATCTCCCGCAGTAATCTATAGTATAATAAACATATATTTAAATAGCTTATTGTTTCGTATATGTTTGGGAAAATGGACTAATTTTCATAACAGCAATCTTACAAATAATAAGCAATTTAAATCCGAATAAAAATATTTTATTATTCCAAAGGGCGTTAGCCCAGAAGGGCTATTAATTTCGTTTTGACATTTTGCGTCGATTCACTTTCTGCGTTGATTCACTTTTCAAACTGTTGCCATCAAATATTACAGCCCTGTATTATGTTTAAAGAAATTAAATAATGAAGAATCTTCATAAATGTATGTATGTTTCTCGCATTGTGATAAAACTTGTGATAAAACAATGGTACTTAGAGACATCAGATTTTGAATAACGTAATCTTCCACCAAATATGGTCATCTGGAAGCCCTAATTTGGAATTTGTTTTATTATCAATTTCATATTTTGGAACACTGTAAGGAATTCTTGATAAACAAACTCAACGATTTCAAAGTGAGCAATGACAATATTGTACGGGGGGGGGGGAATTATCTCCAACGCTCGAGACTGTGTTTCGGAAATTCTAATGATACGCTCATTTTAAAATTATTTTGCGATATTGCTGTTGAATTGAATTCTATGGTTTAAGTGCGAAGAACATGATATTTAATAAATGAAAGTAACACACAAAACCTTAAAATTGGGCGTAATGTAAAATCTGAAAACGTTTTCAGATTTTATTTATTTTTTCTTCTCATTAAAACTGCAGTTGTGACGTGAATACCAGCAATTTTTCCTACAAAGTCTCTCTATAAAGATGTCTACCTCAAGGTAAATAGCTTTTCCGTGCATTTCCATTTAACTTTATCAAATCTGTCTACAAGCACAGACGTCTAGTGATTATCTAAACAGTATAAAAACGTAGTCGTTTAATACGTATGCGTAAAAAAATTTTTATACATATTTTATTACAGTGTATTGTAAAAAGTGTTGCTTAAACACTGTCATAAAGCAGTGAATGAGAAGGAAAAAAAAAAAAAAAAAAAGAGCTTCTCACTTTTCGTACAGCTGTTAACAGGATCATTATTTTGTTTTCAAACAGAGAACGAAATTTTCAGAATAGAGAATTTTCAGAGGATGAAATATG